GAGTTGAAATAAAACATATGAAAGTTTCAAATAACCACATCTTGATAACTTATCCTTTAATAAACATTGTATCCTACGTGTAAATTAATTTGGAGAATTTCCAATTATACAGTTAATCCCCCACAAAAGGGCTCTGCTATACCCATTCTTTTTGAGAGTAACAATTGAGAAGCGCTGAAATTCGCTTTGAAGGCAACTTCTATATTTAAGCAGTATAATTGAAAAGAACAATTTAGTGCCATGATTTTAAGATGAAGAACCTGAGTTACTTCAATTAGGTCATTCTGTGTAGTTTTTATTACAATAGTGAAGCAGCATGCCAAGTCTGAGGCGTAATGTTTTTGACAAGTGCAAATTTTATTTCAAGCATTGTCTTTTACTAAATTTGAATACTACTACTTCATTAACTTTTTTTTTTTTTTTTTTTGAGACAGGGTCTTGCTCTGTTGCTTAGGCTGGAGTGCAGTGGTGCAATCACAGTTCACTGCAGTTTCCACTTCCCAGGCTCAGGCAATCCTCCTGCCTCAGCCTCCCAAGTAGCTGGAACCACAGGCTCATACCACCACGCCCAGCTGATTTTTAAAAATTATTTGTAGAGACGGGGTCTCCCTATGTTGCCCAGGCTGGTCTTGAACTCCTGGTGTCAAGATATCCTCCCACCTCAGCCTCCCAAAGTGCTGGCATTACAGGTGTGAGTCATCGTGTCTGGTCTAACCATTTTTTTTTCAACCAAAGAATAACTCAAGAAAACAGAATGTTACATCAGTAGTGTAATCTAGTTGTCTAAATTGTACCTTTTGCAGATGTTTTGGTTTTACTAAAATTCAGTTATCAATTACTGTAATGTTAGTATGTATTACCGAGACAGACTAACATGTAGGTATAAACTCTCCCCTCTTTTTGAGATATATAATTTTAAAATAATGATATTTTTTATTTTGTAATATTTCCTTTTTAAATTTTTGTACTGCATGATTATTATGCACGTGCACACACACACACAAACACACACACACATTTTCAATAAAAGACATTTTCAGTATCCGCACTCCTTTTTCAGTCATCGTTCTCGTTCCTTTCATGATTATTACTGAAAACAATTTTGTCCTGTGAAGGTGGGTATTAAAAAAAATCCACTTTGGGTGTCAAATACTCTAGATATGACACTAATACCTACAACACTGGTACTACAATGAGATCTTCTACTCGGATCTCTTAATTACCTGCAGCTTTGCAAAAACACTTTGTACCTTCACTGGCTGATATTTCTAGTGATTGCTAAAGCAATGAGCTACTTAAGACCAATGTGAGCTCCGTTTAATTCGGTTAAAAGATAAGAGTTCTTATTATTGCAGTTATTTTGTCTTGATCAGTTAAATTAACATTCAGTTATTGGGGTTGCTGTGCAATATATGGTATCATTCTACCTACTGTGTGTTCAGAGTAGTCTTGTCATAGTGACAGCATGCTAGCATAGGAAGCATTATAACAAATAGGTAAATACATGTCTTTTGTGAATTAAAGGAGGTAATTATGTCAGCCTTACTGCAATTGTGGGTGAATAGCTAAAAATAATTAAAGTAAAAAAATGCCAGAAAATATTTAACATTAAATAAAAATAATCACAAGATTGTCATGAGAATGAGCTGTAAAACATAATTTTTAGTTTCTCTTGATAGAGTATTTCAAATCAGAATATGAAAACACATATACAAATACTCTTTTATTTTCTCTTCATTCAAAGCAGTCCCAGTCCTAGACTATACACTACAGGTACGATTGCTGTAATTTTCCTGCCAAAATAGATATTTGCTATAAAAGACTTCTAAATAGTTATTTTTGTTTTTATAATTTATCTTTATGCTTTGTACAAACAGAACCCAAATAAATCTTGATATTTAGAATATTTTGGCTCCCTAGAAACATGTAGGATTATGCTGTATGGGGTGTCCTATTGAGATTCATTTAAAAACAAACATACCAGAACTTGCAACTGAGCCTCAAAGTAGCTTTTGGTTAACTACACTTATTCCAGTAACTCTGCCATTGTGCCAAATCTTTCTGGGAATTTCTTTTTCCTTGTGAATGGCCTTTAAACCATGTGGCATATTCTTCCAAACATTTGATGTATTGAGCCTCATGAATATAAAGGTGGTTAATTATGTTAGATAAAATGGTTATTATTTAAACAGAAGAGGGAATTATGAGGTTCATTTTTCTTCTGTAGCTTCTAAATTAGCTATGAAGGCTTTTGCAAGAGAGGTACCCTGAATACTTTTCTAGCTATGACACACTGGAATCATATTCAGAGGAGGCTAATTTGAAAGACATGTATTTGAACTGGTAGAGTTGTTAATGATGTGAGTCCTCCTTTTTCTTTTAATAGTCAAATAGATTTTAATGGCTATTGATGTGAAGCAACAATCAGTGGCATAACACAGCTGTGTGTGGGCAAGAATGAAATGCTTAAATTTAGAAGCCACCAGGGAATTATCTGACATCCGTTGCAGGGTCACATTATATTTTCCCCAATCTTTTTTTCTAAATTTGGCCTAGAACATCATTCAGCAGTGGGTTGACATTATTTTGTATATATAATTATCCTCAGCCTTATTCCAAAAATGATTTGCGAAAACTATAAAGGATATAGTAGTACATCATTAATAAAGATCAGTACAATATGATAGGGTAGTACAATAGGATGCAACATAAAAAAATAGATTGAGGGTGGGAGAGGTGACTCACACCTGTAATCACAGCACTTTGGGAGGCTGAAGTGGAAGGATTGCTAGAGCCCAGGAAATCGAGGCCAGTCTGGGCAACATGATGAGACCCCATCTCTACAAAAAAATGTTCTAAAGATTAGCTGGACATGGCGGTAGGCATCTTTAGTCCCAGACACTTGGGAGGCTGAGGCGGTAGGAATGCTGAGCCTGGAAGATTGAGACTGCAGTGAGCCGTGATCACACCACCGCACTCCAGCCTAGGTAAAAGAGCAAGACCCTAGCTAAAAAAAAAAACAAAATTGAGGCAAAGGGAAAATCAGGAAAGCATAGAAAAATGAAGACAATACAAAGCTATTAACAAAGCATGTACATGAAAAGGCTCTGCACAGCTCTAATAAAGATCAGAATTTCAGCTCTCAGTTTCCTAGTTATCAAACCAGAGAGGAAAACAATCTGTTACAAAACACATATACACTAATGTGTGTGTGTGTGTGTGTGTGTGTGTAGGGGAAGTGGCACTGGTTAGCTTAACTAGATGAAAATCTAAACCTGACTCTGCCATTGACATAAACTTTTGATTTCTATGTGCTGCAGTAAACATGAGGATTTAACACTTGGCTTTTCCCTATTTTACTAGAATACATTACAAACAATAATTTGATGTAAATAATTATGACCTATTTTCAGTTCATAAGTCATGAATAGAAACAGCTGACATTGATATTCGAGGGGAGTCAGAGGGAATGAAAAGGTATCAGCTATGTTGCATTCATTTTGTATGTGCTACATCTTTAATTCATACACCAATCTGAAGAGGTAAGGTTCCTATTTTATAAATGAGGTCCCTGGGCCCCAGGAGACCTCCTTAAACAGAGATGGCATTTGAACTGTGGCCTGCCTAATGCTACAGCCAGAATACATACTCCACTGACTACACTGCTTACTAAACCCACTAAAGGCTTTATTGAGAAACTATCGATAGGTAGCATAATAAAAAGTTATCTTTCTTTTGGATTCCCTAAGCATCAATCTTTGGTTTTCACAAAGGCCCAAGATTACTGTGCACTCATTTGAGTTTTAACCTTTATGTTAGCTATACTCTACCCAAATGATTTACTAATTTTCTTTATATGAATTCATTTTAAATTTATTTCAAGAGAACTTTAAATCACTATTAAAAATGTAAAACCAATGTGTTTGCCAGCAACAGAAGACACAGAGAAGTAACTATTAAAAGATGGGAATACATGTAGTACCTAAGCTCTCCAGCACTACCAACTGTGCCTCCCTGGAGGGCAGGGGCCCTCTTATGCAGGACTGGGAAGTCAGGAAGCTCCTCGAGTGTAGGGGAGTGGTCTCCCGGAGTTTCTGAGGGTCAAATCCAGGCTTCGATGTCATTTACTTTTCTCCTTTCAAACATGAGAGAAACTTGGCATTTGGCAGAGATGCAACCCTAGGGAAGATTAAGGAATATACCCACTGCCATCAGAAATATGTAGCTGCAGCCTAGGATACCTTATTCAATGGAGCAAATTTAGGGAAAATGATGGTAGAACAAAACAAAACAAAATGTGTCTCTTCTGTGAGATGAAAACAAATTACCACTCCTTTTAGCATTACTGAGATTTAAGTGCCCTTGTTCGGAAACTTCAGATTTTCAGGAAGCAAAATTTGGTAACTCAAATGTTTCACCACATGAATAAATCAAGCAATCTGATATTAAAAATTTTTATATTGCCAATATTTTTCTATTTTTTGTGGAAAAAAAGTCAAGAAACCCCAAGAGATAATAGCTGGTACTCAAGCATTTCTACATCTTTTAGATTGTAAATTTTAGGAAAGCAGGTACTTATTCGAATTTTACATTCCTGCCACCCCCGCAACCCCAACCAGGCCCTAGTACAGTACATTACGTAATGTGTGTTAGAATATTCTGAACATATTCATCTCTTTACCAGACATCCAACTCAGGTATGATCATGGTTCATCTTAAAAAGAAATGACTTACACAAACAGCAATTTGTTATGAATGGTACGGACCATATGTTGGACAATGTAAAAGACCTCCAGAAGTTAATTGAGCTCTATTAATAGTTTGTGCATTATTACCACATTTGTCCAAAGTTCCTGTGGATGAGTTTTATTTTCACTCAGTCCCACTTTGGGTAGAATATAACTGTTTTCTTATAATTCGTGAATTTTGAGTAAATGTCTTTCCATGAATAATGATGAATTGTTAAACTTTAGCAAACTTTAGCAAACACTTACACCCACTCAATTCTACAGCCATTTTATTAACTCCAAGACCCATTCAAGCAACTGAGTAGGCATTCTGCAATACAGAGTTGAACATTCAAAACCAAGGGCACATGGACAATTCATCTAATTTTGATAATCTGAAGGCACAATCACATAATTATAGGTAGAGACAGTTCCATGAAAAGGTCATTATGAATCTTTAATACAGAAGAGAATGAACACTGATTGAATACCTATGCACTTATAACTTAGTATCATTCAAGGCTCACAATAACCCTACAAAGTTGGGAGGAAACTGAAGACCACGGAGGTTAAGTAATTTATCCAAGACCACCCAGCTTGTAAATGGCAGAGCTGGGATTTGAAATCAGGTCTGTGTGACTTCAAAGACTGTATTATTTTCTCTATACCACTTTGCCTTTATGGTTAATGGAAATGTTCTAAATAATCACTTGGAACTTTTGGATACTGGCAATTCCATTTCATTAGTACACAAGGACCGCTGAAAGCTGTGGTTTTATAGGAGAGTCATAGCATACCAGGTCGTATTATGCCAAACAAAATCAGGATTGACTCTAGCAAATAGTAGGGAGCCCACAAAGCTGTTGTAGAGTGAGTTTCAGAAGGACATTTCTAACATACGAGTGCCAAATGTTTTAAGGTTCACTGAAGCGTAACTGCAAGCAATGTGTCCTATGATGGGCAGCCTCAGCTGTTGCCAGTCTGACAGTTTAAGCCAAGGCACTACAAAGTGTGTCTGAAGATCAGTGTCATAAATGGCAACAAATTCTCTGAAAAGTGCTATAAAGATGGCAATCACAGGGCAGAATTCACCTGTGCCCAATACAGAATGAACCACTGTTTGCACAATGGCCTTTCTATACACACATGCAAAACCCTAGTTACTCAAACATCACTAATTTGTTTTAGGTGACAGGACAATCTGCTTTATTATGTATTTAACATTTTGCTACTTCGCTAAATCAACACTAAGCTGCTTTTGTGTTTCTGGTGGCACCGGAAATCTGAAGGTATGAAAATGAATGTCATGGTCCACAAGAGGTTCGAAATATTAGGGAGGTAGGGGAAAGACTGGCACACTAATATAAACCAGTGTGAGGCCACTGCTCTAGAGCTTGTATTTTTCTTGTTTTCCACACATGCACACACACACATATTCAAAATGAACAAGGCTAAGAATGTGTTCCAAGGTAGAAGTTCTACTGGATGTGAACTATCCTAAAGAAAAATTTAGTTTATCAATGGACTACACATTAGGATAGTTGGTAAATCTAAGACACATTAGCATATAAATGTTAGATTACATAACATTTCTTCACATATATATTTTCCTTATAATTCTATATAGATATCATATTTTCTTCACTGATAAGGCAGAGGTAAATCTCATACTAGCAAATTGAGCACACATTCAAAATCAGTGAAGGAGGCAGGAGGGGAATCAATGGGAGAAACGCATACTCTGTATGTAGGAGTTTTTTTGTATTTAATTTAGTATTTCAGTCTAATAAATTAAATATCAAATCAAATACAATAGTAATCACTTTCATTAGCCATTTACATTTACCCTATGTATCCAGATGTTTGGATCTGAGGCAAAACCAATTCTCTCTCAAACATCTGGAGGCAAAACCAAATTCTCTCTCATGAATAAATATACTTCCTATAATCTTTCTTTCCTTCTGCTCTATCAGGTGCTCAAGTTTCCAGGATTCCGTTTGCTAGAGATAGACCCATGGGGACATGCTGCCCCTGCGGCGTGCCCTTTAACTAGCAGGTAGACTTCCACCATCACCTTTTTGGGCAGTTTCTGTACTAACAACATATAGAAATAGTCTTCTACACTACAATACTAATACATTGCAGGAGGCAGAATATATCCTTCAAAATATGGAACTGTTTTTTGTCTTTATGTCTAATCCCAGAGTAGCATATAACATGAGCACAAAGCTTAACATTAATTATGAATTTTTATTGACCAAATTAAGGTCTCCCTCTGAACCATACTGCTCAGCAGTTTTAAATTCCAAGCCATACCTTATGATCAATTGCTTAGGCCTTAAATATTAAATAAAATAATGTGCTATTTTAATATGTATGAGGGAAATAAATACTTATGGCACGAGACCACTGTTATTCATATTAAAAAGTCCTCTGGCTCCAGTTAGTTAACAAGCAACAAATATTACTAACCACTTCTACTGATGATTGCCTTAGCAAAAGCAGAATTAGAGGCGTGACATCTACTTTATTTTAGATTAAAAATTTTTTCATTATTGACAAAGACAACTTTTTATTGATTCTAGACTTAAAATATATGATGCTCTGTAAACATACATATTATAGAAATGGTAAGTAATAAAGTAACAGGCTAAGAGTTTCTTAAGGGCTAATCTTTGATAACTGCGATAGATACCATTTTTAGGTTGAAATGTGGGAAAAGGCCGACAACTTGTCCTGTTGGTAAATCTAAGAAAATAGTTCTTCAAAAATCAGCCAATCCATAAGGGATTACAGAATACTAAACTTGTATTCAATAACACTAAGAGACCAAGTAAAACATTTTAATCCCTGTTAAATACTATATTTCAATTTCTAAAGTGTAAGAGTGATTTAAATTGTTCATTTTAAAAAGGTAAAGGCTAAAATTCTTTCTAAATTTTTAATTATTAACTTTCCCACTTACCAATGCATATAATAAAGATTGAACTTTTAAAGGTCAAATTGGTACACCTATTGTTCAATGGCTTTTTCATTCTCAATGTAGTCTTTATGAGATAGTTCAAAATAACTGCAGCACTCAAAAGTTATCACAGTAATCAACTGGTATTTCTCCAGTGCATATATTACATACCCATTTCAGTAATTTCACAATTGTTTTCATTTTTTGATTATTTTCAGCTTATTATTTCTTATGTATTGTAGCTTCTGGGAGGAAAGTTACATAAAGCATCTGGAAGTAACTGGAAGGTATATTCAAATAAATAAATAGAGAGTTTCTTTTCTTTTCTTTTTTTTTTGATGGAATATATTTCCTAGAGACAAAAATCTTTAGCAGAGAAGGTAACATTAAATTTGGCACTTAAATATTTTGAACTAACATAGTTGAGAAATATTATGTTAAAAGTTATTTATTTTCTAAAATGTACAAGTGACTGACTCATTTTTATTATCACTCATGCACTGTAAGTCTGGAGAGCAGCAGGTTGCTTGAAGATGCAACAAATATTCTTTCAACACTTCAATAAACACAATGTAAACATTCACTTTAATAATGTTTCCTTTGTTAATGCAAAACTGAGTGCATTTTTTCCTTCCCTCTGGCTGAGCTATGACTAGCTGAGTAGCAACAGCAGAGTGCTGAAAGAATTTTTCAACAGCAATTTGCTTGTTCTAATTTACTTTTCAAGGTTGATGATCAGAATCATTATGTTGCTTGCAAAAAGATCTATTTCTATTAATTTGACCCAGTCATTCCTCTTGTTCTCATCATATTTAGCTTCCCTGGCAGCTTCACCAACTAAGTTAATTGAATCAGAAGTGCCATTACCACTCCAGTTCTACAGTTTCATATAAAAAATGAACTCCTATGTCCTTCAGAAACAAATTTGCTACACCTGTTGAGAAAGTATAGGCATACTGAAAGGAGTAACTCATGTACTTCCACAGGATGGTGAGGAAACCTTTGCCTTTTGCTCTTCAAATACTCTTTCTAGTTTAGTAGACCTATGTCTGCAATGGGCAGTACCTACGCATTATCTGTTTAGTACTCACTTTTTAAAAAAATAAGCAATTCTGAGAAGGTCTGCTTTTTGAGCTAGAACACAATAATCATCATCAACAAGATCAAGGAAGAGAAATCTTGTGTAATTTTCAAATTATTTTCTTTCATGTAATTTTACATGACGACTGTTGAAAAAGCAAGGCTTACTCCAAATGTGTAATATTCTAAAAACGTAATGGGAAACAAGCTATTCCCTACATTTGCAATAAATTTCAAAATAGCTATTTTCCCAATCTCCCTTCTGTGAGGGAATGTGTATTACTACAGTTCCAACATTTAAAGAGCTCCAGCTAAGTAGTCTGGAAGTTCAATGGTATCACATTCTTCACACTAAACACACCTATAAAACTAGTGGAGAAAAGAAACTCCAACTTCAACCACTGGCAAATTAATAAGAGTTAACTTAAATAAATTAGCTCACACTTTCTTTGAAATTGGGTGTAAGCAGGCTATGTGTATGAAAGAGAAAAATCACAGGGTTTTAAAATATAGTCACTAATTATCTCTTTATAACCTGCAGAGGGCACCCAAGTCCCTTGAAGGAAAAAGTAAAAATTTAAGAGGAATAACTAATTTAAAATTTTTTCATTATAACAAAATTTATAAACATAAAATATTTAAAAGAGGCCATTTAAAGGAAATATGCAGTTTTGACTTTAAATGTCTGACAGATTAGAAATGCAAATTTTCACATCCTACTGGAAAAAAAATTCAGCAGGTGGTTTTTAGTGTGGAGTATTTGTCCATCTGTAAATGCTTGTGCATCACACATTAACAATACACTGATGTCAATTATACAGATTGGCCAGGGCATTAGAAAAATCAACCAGCCCTTGCAGTATCCTGCTTATAAGGCAAGAAACTAGTGATACAGGTACAGCTTTGTATTGTTCCAGGCTATACACAAACACTAATGTTACATCCATAAAACAGCTGGTGAGGAAAGTTGGAGGCTAGTTGGAAAGACTTCAGGTCATAAGAGTTTTAATCACTTTGTTTCAATCACCAACTCATGAGTTCCTTGGCAATTTTCAGTTTAATGAATCCTTTCACTACTATTAACTAATACTGTGTTTGGAGGAAAGATATTTGAATATTTGACCTTAAAATATTCTTTATCTTACATGATACCGACATGTTTCACAGGGAAACCCATCAAGTCAGACACACTAGTGTTGTATACATTTACATAAATTCATATACTTGTATATGTATGTTGTGTGTATATATACATATTCTATGATGGTCAATTTCAAAATATACCCTGTTTTATTGAATAAATATAACTGCATGGAGTGTAATGATTAAAAACACTAGTTTCTTAGCAACATAGCCAATGGAAACCTGCCCTCTATCTTTATAGAATACTGCATCTTATATTTTTCCTGATCCGCAATTTTGTTGTGGTTTAGGAACTTGCTATCAAAATATATTTTGAAACTAGTTATTAAATTGAAACTAGAGGAGGCTGGCTTGGCACAAACATAAGTTAGATATGCACTTCTTTGAGTCATTGTTTCAATTTATAAATTAGATCGCAAAAAGTCTGAGCCAAAAAAAAGTATAATAACCTAAATACATCACTTGTATTGTAAAATACTACTAGAATAGTAATTACTAAGCATTAAAATGCTTTGCTTATAATTCAATCATTAATCAAAATCTAATCTTTAAAAACATATTTTGTGACAAATCAGTATACTTTTTTTTTTAAAGGTCTTAAAATATACTGGAGGAATAAATCCTCTGATTTGACATCTTGCAAGATAAAGACTGACATTACTATTGAAACAGTTTTAAACAGCAAATTGAGAAACCTAGCATGAAACATGATCTTAAATTTTTTTCTCAAAATACTGTGCAAAATCCCATGTAATATTTCAAAATTTAAAATTATGGAAGAAGAGGTACTCAGATAACTGAGAGAAAGGCAGGCAGAAAAAATTTAATTACTCGAGTATTTTGGTAATGCTGTCATTTTTTTTTTTAAAAAAAAAGCGTCCTGAAAATGAATGCAATTATTCTTATAATGGAAACATAAGAAGCTCCTTTGCCTCAAGAAAAGAAATAGTTAACAAAGCTTCAAAATCATTAGTCTTAAGGTGGATAACCGTGTACCACAACACATTTTCCTCAACTGGATTTCTTTACCACACAGTATGACATTTTCTAATGGTGGTGGTGGTGGTGGTAGGGGGAAAGGTGAGAAGAAACCACGCAGCTTAATAAAACAGAAGCATTTTCTCAGCCTAAGTTATAGCCACTGCTTTGATTTTTGGGTTATCTCAGGGCCAGTAAGTATACTCTAGTGCATGAAACAAAACTAGAAGCAATACTTAGAATGTAGTCTTTGTTTCTTCTTTCTTCAAAGCCTATGTTTCCTAATATCATTGTTAGGCAAAGCAAAAAGAAATGTTTGTTCTATTACGTAAGAAATAAACTTCATTTGGTATTCAATTGACTTTCTAACTTAGCAGACAGGACTTTACATCTTCAAATACTGAAAATAAATTGCATTCTTGGCCCTTGCTTTAAAAGGTTATAGAGAATAAACGCACACCCTGGTAGTGTTCTAGTGATCTCCCTAATCTCAGTTGCACTTTGTCAGAACGAGGTAACTGGTAGTTAAGTGAAATACCCTAGATCAAAGGGGGATTAATCACCAACTGAATCCTTGCTGAATAAACCTGTCATTCAAGAAAATTATTTCCACTGAACTTAGCAGAGGATTGAAGGTATTTGCATAACAGGGACCAACGTACTTCAGCCAGGTTAAAAGGTTCAGAATTCATCCCATGTTTAGCTTTTTGCCTCCTTTTCCTTTCAGCAGCCTGGTACAATGGTTTCTAATCTGATAATACAGCTAACTATCTAAATGATGTCAGAACAGGAAAGTATTGCAAAGTTTGGATGAGGGATGGATCAATTTCACTTTCAGTAACTCCTAAATCTGATTTGTTGGAATTTAAGATGTAATCCTAAAAAAGTCCCTTAAACCTGAGGACTGTTTATTAACACCCCTTTTTTTGACCTTTGTCTTAGGAACAACCATTCTGTTGTGGCAGCAGTCCCTACAGAAGTCCTGGATGATAATTCCACCTACCTAGCTCCCAGGGTTAGTGTAGCAGTTTATCAATGTCTATGAAGTATTTTGAAATACTATAACAAAAACCAAAAAAAATTGGCAATTGTGACTAAGTATAAATGTCTGCCTTGAAAGATCTTAAATCATACAATGTATAAAAACACCATAATAATTTTAATCCAGTAGAAATACTGAATTGGTATGAAAAAATGAAAACTATTTTATGAGACAGACTAATGTTTAATATAAAAATTTTTTTAAACAAATAATTGTCATCGGAATTCCTGACAAGACTACTTCAAACTTGACATTTGAATCAATTGCTTAAAAAGTAAAAAAAAAAAAAAATGCCACTACTGTAAGGGTATATGGCCTGAGTACTATATTGCTGGCTTTAAAAAGTTTTTAAAATATTGTTTAGTAAAAAACGGAGAAAAGGGTTTACAAAATCATGAACCATCTTTTCTGGAGTTCATTCTAAAAAATTTAACACTTTTTTTTTTAACCTTTCGAATTTATTGAAGAATAATTACCTATGTGATAGACATCAGATTTCATAATCATATTTTGGCACTAAAAGGGAATTTAGCAATTTTGCATCTAGAGAAGGTCTGACAGTATCCAAATCTTTCACTGGAAGTAGTTGCTCATATGCACTGCAAACGCAAAGCATCTTTCAAGTTAAAAAATGCAAAGAATAGTTATCAAAGAAAATGAATAAAATCCATAGTGAGATAATTTTTTAGAAAATGATTGAAGTTTTAACCCAAGAAAGGACTCTTAGAGTGTCTTATAGCTTAGAATAAGAACATGTCAATCACGATTAAGCTTCTGGAATCGGAATCCCTTTGAAATGCAGCTGTTTCTTCTTTAATTGTGGCAGCGGACTCTGAAGAAAAGAAAGGTCCAGCCTTAAAGATGAGTAAGGAATACAAAATAGCTCAGGATTAGTTGTGGAGTTCAAAGGTCGCTAATTACACTAAGGAGTTCCCAGACACAGGGAAAACATTAAACAGGTCACCTACCAAACGGGAAACAGACTCTGTCTTCAGAAATTATCCTGAAGTGACAGGTTTCTAGACAAAATCAAAAGCATCACAGTGTGCCCAGCTGATCTCAATGGGATGAAAACCTAAGTTGGTTCAGTTCTGTAGCACTATGTTAGAATGGAATGGCAACAGATGGCATCAGGTTCCCCAACACCTCATCACTTTTCCAGGACACCCTAGATTTTCCTCCGGTTTCTAGAAATGCCAAATAGAAGATTCACTGATTTTTCTAACTGCTTATAAACTTTTGCCTAGGGGATTATTATATTAAATCTTCGCCTACTCACTAGATAAATGCCTCTTGCTTACCTTAGTGTATTTGGTAAACATTTATACAATCAAGATTCCAAATGGCTCCATTACCATTAACTTATCAACATAAGTGAAATGTTAAGTTTTATTTGAGTTTAAGAGAGATCAAATAACTTACAGGGAATGATATTTTCTTCTTTCTAAAGGAAAGTTTTCACTGCTGATTATCTATGATTAAGCTAGAATAACAAGTTAAAGTCCTGGTCAGGCAATTATTCTTTTTTCTTTGTTACTTGGGATAATTTTGAACACAGAACCTTATGCCATGATAATGCTTTGCAGAAAATGAGTTTATGAGTAGGACTGACCTTAATTAAAAAATCATATTTCAAATCCTAAATTTATATGCACAATCCCTTTAAACTATCATGCTCTTTTTTGAGGAGTTAGCAAATTTTCTAAGCTTTTCCTTAGAAGACTCATTAAAAAACAGAACCCAAGATATTATCAAATTGAGTATTAATCTTTAATGCATATTTTTTTCTAATCTGTAAAAAGACATGAATGAAGTTTTGAGGTTCGTGAGATTTCATCTTTTCTTGAATGGTCACTTAAAGTCCAACTTGACAATGAACTGCTCTGAAAACATAATATGACATATAATTGCAGAAGTAGGTAGAGAATAAAGATGATTAGATGGTTTCTGAAGAAATCAAGAGAATGGTAAGAAAGTGAGAGTGACAGCTTTAAGGAGATATATACTACATGTGACTAAAATAAGCTTAAATGATACTCTCTACCCACAGAGTGCCTTTGAATTTCTTTCCAGAATTCATTCATTAATTTTAACTTAATAAGACACAGAAAGAGCAGTATTAGATCTAAATTACCTTTAAAAATTTAGCTGCAGACATTAAACGATTACAAAACACTATGATCCTTTTCTGAAGCTATTCCACACATCTTAATATGGCTACTGACATCCTAAGCAAAATGTCATTGTGGCAGATTAACAAGCTTACTTAAAAACTAACTCTCGAACAGAGATTACACACCTTAAGTAGAAAAGTAGAATTATGCAGATTCTTTATTAGTCAATAGGATAGTTCTGATTAAGAAGAACAGGTTACTACTTAAACACTTTTCCTTTGTCTCTGTTGGCTGTTTTTTGAAGAGATGTAGTTGTTTCTAACATGGCCTCTGGTATTCTGCAACAACACCTTATACTAGGAGCTTAGTACTTAGATGTGGAAGAGAAAATAGTTTTTATATTGCACATCATCTACAACCCTGAATCTCTGAACTGAAAAGGAGCCTGACCCTTTATCCAAGGCTCAGTACAGAAAAGGGCTATAATTGATTAGCAATGTCTGCCACAGAAACACTAAGAAACAAGTGTGGCAGGGTGACCCAGGACTAGTCTAAAATGAGCCCAAGTGAATCATTACTTTTCTATGTTCTGCATTATACTGGCATAAAATCAAAGGTTAACAAAATTGGAGACATTAGCTTTTAAAACACCCTTTCAAGTTCTATCAGACTACAAACACCAAATAAGACTACTTTTACAATTAAATCATTCAGTGATTTTTCACTCACAGGTTCTATGCATCCACATTAAAAATATAAGATTATGATTTCCTTCAAACTGTTATCATTATATAATCCCATTTAAACATGAGACTATTACAGTAATAATGATCCATATGTTACTGGAGCGGGGGCTTTAGAATTCCAGATGTAATAATCAGAAGAAATTAGTTTCCGGTCTAAAGAAAAGAAAAAGAAATTAATGATAAGACTATTTTATCTTAGCAAAAATTCAACGAGAGCAAAGTCATGATTTTTTGAAATTGTGCAATGCAGTTATTTCAAGGCAATACTTTGAAATATTCATTTTAATTTGATATTATCAAGACTTTATTATAACTTTTACCATTTTACAAATACGGACTCATTAAATATTTGAACAACCCATCTTTGACCTTACATGAAATATCTCTCATTTGTGCCAAATCTGTCAATTTTATCTTCACATTTTCTCTAAAATCTTTTTCGTATGGACCATTACTCTGACTGTAAAAACAGTAAACATTTTTCACTGGTTTCTCTTCTATAACCTTATCACGATGGCCCTGATTCTGGGTCTTGCTATTCTTTACCCAAAATGTCAGAGATATAAATTAACACCCAACTTCCTAGCAACATTCTAAACGGTTTGCTTCACTGATTTCTTATTCTAGTTCTGATCAATTTAAGCCTTTTTAAAAATAGCTTTGAAACCCTACAAAAATGGCAACCTATTTGAACTAAAGTTTTCTGATATGTAAAGTTGAGACAATAATGTTCATTTGGAATTACATATGTAAATTCTTTATATATATAATTAAATATCCGATTAAATATAATTAAATACGCAATTCAGCCTTCACTTTCTTCTTCATGCCCTTCTTCATAAATGAAAAGAATATAGACTATATTGTCTTTTTTGTTCTCTTCAAAGTACTCAAACCCAGTAACAATGAGTGGCAAGACAGCATACTGTTAAGTGGACAGGTTCTAGAGCAAGAATGCTTGAGTATCTGACTCCCAGTTCTGCCATTTGCTAGCTATGGGACCCTAATCTCTCAGTTCCATCAGTGTCCTCATCTGTAAAATGGAGATAACAACACTTACATAGGGTGCTGTGAGGATTAATGAGATAATATACATAAAACACTTAGAACTTTGCCTGGCATATAGTAAGCAATAAATATTAGCCATTATTATTTAAATTATCATTAGCCATTATTATTTAAATTTATTAAATTAATTAAATTAGCCATTACTATTTAAAGTATTATTATTACTATTTTTAAACTAAGTTGTATATTTTGAAAATAGATTTTATTGTCAAGATGATGGCAAAATAAAGTTTTACATAATTGCACAAACTGGCAGTCAGATTCCGAAACTAACAGAGGAAGAAAAGATGGGTCATAACATTAATTTAAAATGAGTTCTTTCATTCAACATATTTTGTATTAAGAAGTAGGTATATTCCCATCCTGTATTATGCTCTCTGGAAATTACTGTGGTATGTTTAGTTAACATAAATAAATTAAAATATTTTCCCATAGACAATCTAAAATACTGGTCTGTTTGCTTTCAGTCTCCCATATATACAACAAAAAAATGATGTAAGAGAAAACACAGGGCAAGCCTAGGGAAGAAAAGAATACTGGTTTACTCTGGTTACATTACATAGAAGTTATATTGTCATGCACAGTAACTGCTTAAAATTCTGTAGTTCTAAGTTCTCTAATTCTCTTGAAATGTCCATGGAGAGTCCTTTCCTCTTCTTCCTGTTTTAGGAACTCTAATCCTTAGTTTAAGAAATATTAATCTAACTATAATAATAAAAATGTATGTAAATTGGGATCATTCTTGTCCACACATATAACAGCTTTATTCTCCTTGAGGCAAAAAGGTTTTGCTTAAGTTTAGGTAACTCTACCTCATTTTAGCTACTATTCTATGTTACATATTTCCATTTGATCTGAATTAAATAATTTTGATTCATTTATAAATTGTTTTTTTGTCTCATTATATTTTCATATGTTTTGTGTGTGTGTACACACATATAGATCTATACTTTACCAACCATTAAACATACTAAAATCCAGAAACGTCTTTTTTATTGTCTTCCTATTGATTAAGAATAGAGAAGGTGCTAAATAATGCTTGATTGCAATATTTGCTAAAGATATTTAAAAGTTTTAAATAAGAACCATCTCTAGTATCTACTAAATCCATACTATATGCTAAGTATCATACTGAGTCAATATAATCTTATTTAAACCTCATAACAAGCCTGAGGTAAATCACACTATTATTTCCATTTTATAGACAAGAAAATTAAAACTTCAAGAAGTTCACTAATTTGCCCAAAGTTATACACCTAATGAAATGGCTGAGCCAGGCTTAGGTCCTGTCTGTTCAACACCACAGTCTCTGTGAATCATCTCTGAATAAAATAACCAGAGAAAAACAAATCTAATTTTATACTGAAGTTCACTTCTATCCCAATCTTTGCTCATCCAGACCACTTTATAAACAAGGAGAAGGCAGAGGACAGTGCAAAGTACACAAACAGTTATGTGGGGTAGGATCAGTCCAGAATTTTATAAATTGGGATTATTCTCTAATCTCTAAATTCTGTTACATTCAAATTTTACCTTAGGTAATAACTGCAAACACCATTTTAGTTCCCTTAAGTTAGTTTGAATCTGTATAACTTACATGCACTTATTTTTGGTTTTCCTGATGCAAAAACTTGAACTGAATGCTGATCTGCGTAACACCCAGTGAGTGTGTAATCTAAGATCCTAAAATGAAGCTAGAAAGAAGAGAGAAATATACCAAATTAAGGTGATCATTTGGTAAAAAGGATGGTGACATTTTTCCCTTGACCCAGTTTTAGCGAATTTATTTTACACAGTTGACAAAATAAAATAAAAAGTTTAATACACAAGTATTAAACTTGAATTGTGTGTGTGTGCATGTGTGTGTGCACACATATGTATACAAAAACACACACATAATTTTTTTTCCCTTTGCCTTAGGGCCATTTCTTTGTAAGGCTGTCATTATGAAGTACTTAACACACAATATGCACTTCACTAACAGCTCTAATCCATACTGCAAGGTATGCTGAGTGAATTGAGGTTCAAAGATGGAAGCAACTGGTATCCCAGCACATAAGCAGCAGAGCTGGCATTTGAACTCAGACCACACCGACTCCAAAAGCTGGTGCTGTCTCCCACTGTGCTGCTGTCTTGTATGCCGTATATTCTCTTCTATCCCTAGGGCTACGTGGTTATGATATATTCTAGATCATAAGTCTTTTACAGGCAGGAAAGTGTAAACCTTCTAGCAAAATATAATGTAATTATGAAAACAGAAACATCAGTTTATCTTGTGTTTAGGGTGAATGAGCTGTACTACTTAATTTTCCAGAAGGGTGAAATTTAACTTTTATAGAACTAAGCTTAGGAATTACCTTTTCCCTTACCTAGAAAACCTTTCTAAAACATCCTCCATAATTCCTGGATTTCATTGACAATGTGGGGCTGTCACTACACATGCCAACTATTACACTGTGCTGTAAGAGAGTGAATCATTAGTACCTTCTCTGAAGACATAGCACACTCTGTTGTCCAGGTTGCAGTGTAGTGGCCAGGGTGCCCCTAAGTTACAATGACATTCACATGACCTGTGAAAAAAATCTACATTTCATGGAGCGCCTGTTCTCCTTTGCTGTGATTCTCCTCATCTCTGCTGCTAAATGCTCCCGATTTTTGCAGTATCCTGATATCTTTTTATATATTTTTTCTCCTATCTCTATTCCCACAAAATTTCTCCCATTTCCTAACTTTATTAATTACCAAACTAACTGATCACATGCATAAGATGGGATTTAGAATGTAATTTTCAGATCTTCTCAGCAATTTTTTTTTCCTGTTGCAACTCAAATTATCTCTGATAATAAAGGGCTTTTGCTTGTTTTTTTGGTATAATTCTCAATGCTGGTATAATTCTCAACGCTGGTATAATTCTCAATACAACATTAAGTATAGTTATAAGTATAAGTTATGACCAGACTGATATCCATACAACTGAAATACTGTAAAACACACTTAGATCATTCAGTCAACAAAAATATGTGCTACATGCTTTCAATGTGAGTGTAACTGGTTGGTGATGGGAATGAATAGAAAAATCATAATTCCAACCCTTGAAGGACATACAATGTGTGGTAACATTCCACATTTTTTTCTGAAAGGTATCTGAAGTAGGAATTTTTATAATAATCCTTGAAACAAAGCTTCTGGACACAAGTGAAGCCAAGATAGAAGAAATGAATTATCACCAGTATACTTCTGACTTCACTACCACTTCCCCTAATTGCCTGTATTTCTCTTGATTTCTTTAATACATTTTATTTAGGTTTTCTCGCTACCTTTCTAATCACTCCTTCAACTGCCTCACCTGTTCTTCTGAATCTTCCTGTATTATTTTATCTTTTTTCGGTTATTTATTTTCACTGCCTCAACTATTTCTTCTCTGTGGATAATTCCTAAATCCTTATATACAGCTGAGCCTTCTCTTATGAATCAAGCTTTAGATTTTTAGCTACCCACTGAACATTTACAATGGGCTATATTGCTATTACCAGCCAAAAATATGATATGAAACCCATTTCTTCCCAATTTTCTTCATATCAATAATTTAGGTATATTCATTCATTCAGCAAATATTTATGTGCTAGGTCCTGGACTAGATAGTTGGAATAAAACAATGAATGAATGAGATTCACATGTCTCTACTCTCTTCAAAAGCGTCAAATTTGGTTTAAGTTCCATTTTTTTTTTTAACAATATCATCTTTGAACAACAACATTTCTTGTCTCTGTATTTACTTAGTAGTCAAGGCTTTACTTTTATCACAGCTTTTACAGCAGTTCCTTCATTTTTCTCCCTTTTCCCTTCTTTTCTCTTTCTGTTGACACTACACTAACTCAGCATTATTAACTTATTATAATATTACCCTTTCATATGGAATATTAATATGCTATAGATTGGCTTGTCTCTAGTTTTTTTACTCACCTTGCTTACGTCCATTCCAGATTAACATTCATAAAGTATCACTTGTGAAAGACTACTCCCCTACTTAAAAAAGTACACCATCAACCAAAGGAATAAAAGTCAGATTCAAATTCTGTATAATCTTAATCTAAATTATGTATCCAGTCTCTTATAGTACTACTACTTTTAGCACTGGTTTCTAAGCATGCCTTGTTTATCCTTCTTTACTCTTTTAAGTAACTTCTTTACCTAAACAATTGTTAGTCAGTCTTCAAGTCTTCATATTCATGCATATCTAGGCCTCAGAGTTTGGCTTAAACTTCACCTCCACTGTAAAGCTTTCCACAATAACTTCAGCTGTAGCACCTTTTTCTTGAAATATCAAAGCTGTTAGCACTGATAAATTGTTGATGTACAACACTGAAAAATTCTTGGAAGGTAAGGACTACATCTTCTATTTTTTGTACACAAATCTCAAATTTTTTGTTTCTTTTTGAGACAGAGTCTTACTCTATCACCCAGGTCGGAATGCAGTGGCATTATCATGGCTCACTGCAGCCTTGAATTACCCAGGCTTAGGTGATTCTCCTATCTGAACCTCCCAAAAAGCTGTGACTAAAGGTGTGCACCACCATGCCCAGCTGATTTTTCTATTTTTTGTAGAGGTGGGGTCTCACCATGCTGGCCAGGCTGATCTTGAACTCCTGGGGTCAAGCGATTCACCCGCCTTGGCCTCCCAAAGTGCTGGGATTACAGGTGGGAGCCACCAGGCCTGGCCCAAATCTCAAATTTGATAACCAAGAGCTGAGTGGAATTAGACTGAGTTGGGGTATTTAGGTTAGCTGGTTCCCTTTAAAAAAACACAAAAAACCCTTGTTTAAAAGAGATCTGGTTGCATTCTGTTGTCCAGGTTGCAGTGCAGTGGCACAATTTAGCTCACTGTAACCCTGAACTCCTGGGCTTGAGCGATCCTCCCACCTCAGTCTCCCCAATAGCTGGGACTATAGACACCCCGCCACTATGCCTGGCTTTTTAAAATGTTCAAGTATTAAGTGAAATAGAAGTGACTAATACTAAACAACAATAAAAAATCAAACAAAAATCCAAAAGAGAACTTACACCAGACAAAAAGAATAGAATTCTAAAACAATTGGTGGAAAGCATTAAAAATCAACTAGAAATATGCAATTTATAAACAAAGGAAGGGCTCTACTGTAGTAAGCCATATAAATATGTTTACCTTTAAATATGCTGTTTCTCCAATACAAATTGGGTCAAATGGCTGCTTCTCATGGCTCTTGGCTCCAAAAGTTACAGTTCCAGAAAGACTAATTTCCATTGATTTTGGGAACTTCTGGCCTAAAACACAAATATACCAATCAACTATTCTAAATCAAGTAGATTCTACAGTAAATTAAAAGAAAAAAAACCAATAAATAAAACTTGCTCACCAATAATCCAGATCAGTAAGCTTTTCTCTCGAAATACTTCGAGCTGGCCAAAACTAGTTTTATATTCCAAATGTGTAATTGGACCTCTTTAAAAAGAAAGGGATAAAATAGAAAAAGATCACAGATATAACAGTTTTAAGAGATCTAAGTCAAACTTGGCCACTGTTACTTAATACAAGGACAGCATAAAAGCAGATCTGTATTCAAGTTTCCAGAATACAAAAAATAATGAATATTAAATCTTGAAAAACAATAAAACACACATAAACATTTTTGGTGATGATGTGTATTTCATTATTAGTTCTTAAGACAACTATGAAATCATATAAAATGTATTAATACAGTCACATAGGTTGCTATAACATTAAGACTATGGTTTTACTACATATGTATATATACTTTGACAAAAATCTGTGCTGCAGAATAAATTTAAAAGTAGAACTGATAATAAAGTAATATTATAATTGGCTAATTCACCAGGTTGTTGATAGTTTGGTTTGACTTGTATATGGAAAAATTGCTAGAAAAATAATTCCTGAGGAAGCTACATTGGTTTAAGTGTATAATTTACTAGTAAGTTTTACTAGAAAGATAAAGGCATATTTAAAGGTAAACAGATTATTTTTATGACTATATCATGAAAATCAGCATTCATTTGAATAGAATAAAATTATTCAGACCTTAAAAATAAGGTAAAAGAGAAAGACAATTTATTGTGGAGCAGTGGGAATGTATTAAGGAAGACAAATTATGGCAATATAGATTTTATTCCTACCTATTGTAAAAAGGTATATGAGCTTCACAGAATTCAAAATTATTTTTCACACTTTCGTGAAGTTTTAAATTAATGGTTATTCTTAGTTGTACTTCTTCCTCCTTCATTTGATAAAATCCCAAAATTGGTGGGACAGGGACCTAAAAAGAAACATAAATGTCTATATAATTCTCAGGTTAATGGGTCTAAAACACCAAAAGTAACTGAGAAGAGTTACTTTTAATGACTTAGAGGTTATTCCAAGTTGTTTTAGTAACAGCAATGATGAATCTATATTCGCTTTAAGGATAGGGATTCTTCTCTCTTTCTGTTTTCAGAGATGAGAAAAGTGCTTTACAAAGGTGTACAATGCATTCTTGTTCCTATACTTGCTCATCCAGGCTCCCTGTCTCCATGTTCTCTGACCTGCAGCATAGGGTATACAGTAGGCGTGCAGCAGGCACTGCCATTCTGCCCACAGCTCCTGTTCTCCAATTGAATCCCATGAGTTCTCCAATCCCCTCGTTCAGCAGTAACTTACTTGGTTGGTCATCAATAACTGACTGAAGGGGAAACAACTTGTAGGCTGGGGTGAGCCAATCATTATTTCTGGTACATGTGAAGTAAGACACAGAAAGACTACTTATACAGTGCAAGCCCTAGAGCTGTAAGGTCATGTGTAAGCAGAGAAAGCCAGCTGAAAGAGGAGACTGAGAAGCAGACATGTGACAGACAAGGTGGACCTTGAGTACAGGCTGATATTAATTTTCTGGTTCCAGTCCCAGTAAGAACTGTGTCTGCTTCTTTTCTTATTCTTAAATGGCAATGAGACTGCCTATTGCATTCTCAAAATAAATTTGCTCTACTTAAGCTAGCTTGAGTAGGTTTTTGTAACCTACTCATCCACAACTAGGACAAGAGATAAATGGTATAGTAGAAAAGAGGTTTGGGAGTCTGAAAAATTGGGGTTCAAATCCAGGCAGTGCCATTTATCAACTATAGACCTGGTGCAAGTCATTTCACTTCTCTGTGACTCTCCTGAGCTGTAAAATGGGGATAATGTCTAATTAAAGGTTGTTACCAGTACTACAGTACTAGAGAAAATACATGTAACGTGCTTAGGACAATGTCTAACACACAAGCAGTTATTCAATAAATAAATAGATATGAGTAATAATATATATTTGTAATTCAGGTTGCCTGCGATGAGGGGTATTTTATTACGTTCATGGTTAAAACCACGACTAAATCATACCAAAATCTATCCCATGACCGTGAACATTTTTAGGGAACATTAAAACAAAAAATTCAATTATTTTGAAAGCTATTTACAAGTAGTTACCGACACCAAAGATAAGAGGTATCTCATTCAAAGAAGTGAATCTTTTTTTTTTTTCCTTGAGGTGGAGTCTCGCTCTGTCACCCAGGCTGGAGTACACTGGTGCAATCTTGGCTCACTGCAACCTCCGCCACCTGGGTTCAAGTGATTCTCCTGCCTTGGCCGCCCAAGTAGGTGGGACTACAGGCGCACGACACCATGCCTGGCTAACTTTTTGTATTTTTAGTAGAGACAAGGTTTCACCATGTTGGCAGGCTGGCCTTGAACTCCTGACCTCCAGTGATCCACCCGCCTCAGCCTCCCAAAGCGCTGGGATTACAGGCATGAGCCACGGTGCCCGGCCTAAATCTTCATCTTCATTCATCAATTATTGTCTGATAAATAGAACTTTTTCTAAGTTCTCATACCAAGAGTGTGAATTATTTACTTATCAATAGTATTTATGAATATAAAGATCAGCAAACTCTCAACTATTCTAGGGTTGTTTACCTGGGAAGTGTAGTAGCATAAGTTGAATGACTCTAAAGGTGGAGTCAATGGAAATTTGTAAGGCCCACTAAATGCAGAGTCATCCATTGCATCAATACTACTAGAAGTCAGAATTGCAGAGTCAAGAGAAGTTACACAAGGATGAACTAGAATATCTTGAAGTGGAGATCCATTGGTGGGGAGATTCAAGCTGATGGTAACATTTGGCATGATTCCTTCCAAATCACACTGAAATGCAAACAGAAAGATTATCACCAAAATCTCAGAAGCAAATGTCTGTTTCAGGCTTCTCAAAATTTACCAAAGTCATTTTCCCCAATTAACTCACTTTTCTCTAGGTATTGTTCTCTTTGCTTTCTGTGTTCTTATTGATGGTTTTATCATGTTCTTACACACCCAAGCCAGAGACCAGGAGGGCCCTCATAGACTCCATTGCTTATCTCTAAAGCTCTTACAAAGATAATTTAAATCTGCTGAATTTTCTCCATTCCTGTTGAATCACATTAATACGGGCCCTTACAATTTCTGCCACAGCCCACTAAATATTTCTGGACTTGCTTTCCTATAATCAGTCCTCTAATCCTCCATCCTCCTAGCTCTCCATGCCAGAGCTATCTTAATGAAACATAATTTTTATTATACTTTTTCCATGCTCGAATGCTTTCAGTGATTCTACTTCAATTCTGAATTACTTGTAAAGCCTTTCATTGTTTGGTTCTCATCTACCTCCTTTTTATTTTCCTTCAACTTTTAAGTTTTGGGGTACATGTGCAGGATGTGCAGGTTTGTTACCTAGGTAAACGCGTGCCATGGTATTTTGTTGCACAGATCATCCCATCACCTAGGTATTAAGCCCAGCATCCATTTGCTGTTCTTCCTGATGCTCTCCCTCCCCTAACCTCCCCAACTGACAGGCCCCAGTGTGGTCGTTCCCCCTGTGACCGTGTGGTCTCGTCATTCAGCTCCCACTTGTAAGTGACAACATGTGGTGTTTGGTTTTCTGTTCCTGCATTAGTTTGCTGAGAATAATGATTTCTAGCTCCATCCATGTCCGTGCAAAGGACATGATCTCGTTCCTTTTTATGGCTGCACAGTATTTCATGGTGTATATGTACCACATTTTCTTTATTCAGTCTATCATTGATAGGCACTTATGTTGATTCCGTGTCTTTACTATTGTGAATGGTGCTGCAATGAACATACGTGTGTATGTATCTTCATAGCAGAATGATTTTTCTTTGGGTATATACCCAATAATGGAATAGCTGGGTCAAATGGTATTTCTGCCTCAATGTCTTTGAGAAATTGCCAGTCTTCCACAATGGTTAAACTAATTTACATTCTTACCAACACCGTAAAAGTGTTCCTTTTTCTCTGCAATCTTGCGAGCACCTGTTGTTTTTTAACTTTTTAATAATAGCCATTCTGACTGGTGTTGGATGGTATCTCACTGTGGTTTTGATTTGCATTTCTCAAATGATCAGTGATGTTGAGCTTTTTTTCATGTTTGTTGGCTGCATGTAGGTCTTCCTTTGGCAAGTGTCTGTACATGCCTTTTGCCCACTTTTTAATGGGGTTGTTTTTTAATCTACCTCCTTAATAATTTTCTACCCTGCAACTTACATGTAGTCATATTGGATTCTTGCATTTTCCTAAATAAACCATACTGTCTTATACCTCCAAATGCACCTTTGCATGTGCTATTGCATGTGCTATTCCTTCCAGCTGCAATGTTTTCTCCCTGTAAATGCTTTCATTCTTCATGTCTTAGCTCATTTGATGCTCTCTGTGAAGTCTTATACTCTGTATCACCTCTACAGCCTACCTTTGCTATGTAGAGAAGCCCAGGATCTTCTTCCCTATGTAGTCTGGGTTAGTTTGCCAATAAGAGGTACTCATGAGAGATTTACAAGGGAAAAGAGAAAAGGAAGTAACTTTTCTTGAAAGTTCCTTGAAGCCAGATAGGTCAGCTTCTCAAACCCGTCCTTGAACTCCTACTTCAAGGCCAAAGTGGCCAGATGCTACACTTCTGCGGACCTTTCCTTGAATTTCCTCTGTGAAGTCATTAACAGACAGACATGGCAGTTTCTCAGACTTCTTTGTGAACTTTTGATTTGACTATCTCCTCAGTGACTGTTTCTGAAAGGCTATAGCTAGAGGATCAAAGACTTATTTCCTCAGTGCTTCTTGAATAAGCCCTAATTTCTATGTTAAACATCTTTACTCCTATAAATCTTATAGTGGCTTCTTCTGGCCCAACCAGACTGACATACTTTACTTGTGTTTGTATAGGTAGCCAGGGTCTTTGTACCACTCTCTTGAAATTCACCTCTATTAAAGCCTGGATCAAACTGACCAACTGAGCCCCATAAGAATTATTAGTATCTTCTGTTTCACCAGAACTACACAATATTTTAAGAGTTAGTGAACTCTGAAAGCATAACACTTAGTTCCTAATGCACTATCATATACATAGATTGCACCATGCATTAACTGTCCACTATCTACAGGTATCTGGTCCATTTCTCTTTTCAAGTTTTAAATTCTTTGAAACAAGAATCGTTACATTTTTCTTAGTATCTCTAGTGCCTGACACATTTCTATGCATAGAAAACAGTAATAAGAAATGTTTGCTGAGTGGCTATCTTTTTCTAATTATAAACCTACTTTTGTTTTCAATTTCTAATATGAAATGTTTCACTTTTAATGTTTTATCTACTATTTGACATGTGTGGGAATTCATTATGTATCTGCTATACAATGTAAGTACTTAGCAGGCAGGCATTATGAAGAGTACTACATATAATCAGTGCCTTTATAAGGTCTGTCAGTGACAATTACAACAATGTCAGTCACATTAAAAATAAATATGCCATATAATCTTACTTTAAAACTTAAAAAAAAAACTTAGGGTTTTAACTTTTAAACCATCTGCTATTTTCTATATGTGAACTAATAAGAACAAATGAAAAGTAGTTTTGTTTTTGATTTATGGAGACAAAATAAGCAAACATCAATAGTAAATACCATTATAATTTAATAATATTCAGTTTATACTTAGTAAATTAATCTCTTAACGTTCGTAAAGGGTCAGAGAAACATCAGCCATCATGGAACCTGCCAATGAATCTATCTGGGCACTTAAAATGCCAGATCATCAGTTATTTACTATAGGATGAGAACATCCATTCTAGAAGGAATTGGTGTACTACCCTTTAAACCAATCTGGTATATGTAAACCCAACTTTAGCAGTAAAAGTTATTAAAGAAAAAAAAAGGCACCTAAGAGTTTATCTCATTTTAAAAATGAGAAAAGATTCACAAAATTGTGTAACTTTCTAAAGACATACAGAAAATTAGTGGAAGAATGAGGTCTAGAACTTTGGACTACTGGCCTTTGGCTCTGGTTTTCTACCAGAGTAGGATAAAATGAAGATGATTATTTCCATTTACAATGGGCTTCACGATAAAATTCCTTTAAACAGTAAGTTTTGGAAGTACTTAAAGAATGTCTGGCTAACAGTTATGTTATGTACCTACAACCTTAAAGAAACATTTAGCATGTAGGTTAAGGTATACCCCTTTTTTTTCCCTTAAGAACATTTTTTAAATAAGAAAATTGCCCATCATGATAATCTGTATCAGGACTAAGAGTAGGAACCAATCTGAAATTCTCCTAAGAGTAAACTGCAGTCAGCCTATCAATGAACAGACACATTAAATGCCATGGTATTAATTAGCATTATATCAAAAATAACATATTCCCTATTTATTGCTACAGAATGAAAAAAAAACAGAACTGGTGAATTTTTCTATTTTATTTTTTTTAAGACAGAGTCTAGTTCTGTCACCCAGGCTGGAGTGCAGTGGCACAATCTTGGCTCACTGCAGCCTCTGCCTCCCAGGTTCAAGCGATTCTCATGCCTCAGCCTCCTGAGTAGCTGGGATTGCAGGCGTGCTCCATCACGCCTGGCTAATTTTTGTATTTTTAGTAGAGAAAGGGTTTCGCCATGTTGGTCAGGCTGGTCTCAAACTCCTGACCTCAAATGATTTGCCTGCCTTGGCCTCCCAAAGTGCTGGGTTACAGGAATAAGCCATTGAGCCGGGCCCTATTTTTCTATTTTCATTTCATTGAACTTATGAGAAAAAAGATTCAACTACTTTAAAACTTAAGAATGACATAATCCATGAACACCTCAATTTTGGAGCCATTTACAATAGTTATTTCTAAGAAAGTGAGTAACTGGAGTGTATTTTTGACCACGATAGATATGAGTTTAAAATAGGCATAAAAACTTTTACGTAACTTTAATGTTAAACAGGATAAAAAAAAAAAAAAGACCCAATATTTCTGTCAGGACTGTTCTAATTCTCTGCTCTTGAACTCTAGTTTTATCTATCAGATTTATATACAGCCACACATTAAATTTGACATATAAAAAATATACGTAACTGCAGGGAATAAAGAAAGAAAAATAAAGAAACGAGAATACTATTAATATAAACTTGTAGAAAGTTTACCTGGAGGATTTTATTTTCAATCATTATTCAACATGGCATGATTCACCACTAACTGTATTGTTATTTCCATTGTCTTTTCCTTCCTATTTTCTATTTCTACAAAGAACCCAATATTAATCTAATGACTTATTTAAATAAGAGTCCTTCAATATAATTTTAGATATGTCAGAGATGTCAATTTCACCCCCTAAAGAAAATGGAAAATAGGAGTGGTGACTTTAAAGTATGTTCTGAAGTTATTTGACATTACTCTTTTCATAGGTGGAGCTTAATTCCATGCCCCTTGAATATGGACCACTTAATGACTTGCTTCTACTGAACAGAAAGTAGTGGAAGTGTAACCTCCCAGGCTAGGTAATAAAAATAATCGCTTCTGCCTGGCTGTCTGTCTCTCTCTCTCCTCTCTCTCTCTCAGATCATCTGGTCTGAGGGAAGCCAGTCACCAAGTGTGAGGGCACTTAAGCAGCCAGTTGAGAAGTCCATGTGGAAAGGAACTAAGGCTTTCCTCCAATAACTAGCACCAACTTGTTAGCCATGTGAGTGAGTCATCTTGCAAGTAGATCTTCTAGCCTGTCAGACCTTCAGATGCCTATAGTCTCAACTGAAACCCTGACTGCAACTTCATGAGTGACTCTACACTGAAAGTTCCCAGTGTAGTTTCCCCACAGAAACTATGAAAATAATAAATGTCTACTTTGGGGACAATGAGACAATTCTTTACACAGCCACAGATAACTAATATAATTGGTAAGGAATTAAAAAGACAACATAAAATTTTACATGACTCTCCCATTTAACAACTGCTGCTTAAGATGAAAATAAAAAATGTTATTTAAACCACAACTAGCAAATTTAACTTTCTCCATATGTTAAATAAAATGATAAAGCAAATACCAGAGAAAAATCTCACCTTGCAAGTCACTGTTCCAACAACTTGCCATGTATCCGCTATACCCTGTTTATCATATTGCATGGATTTTACCTTTTCAGTGATAGAAATAGAAACTTGTGGTTTTCCTTTGTACGTTCCAGTTTTCCAAGCTGGCTGTTTTTGTGGCTGAGTCACAGATGCAAAATTGGTATTATCTAATGAATTCTTTAAGTTGGCATCTAATAAAGTGCCAAATGGACAAGCCTGCAGAAGCAAGTCAGGCAACTGGCTCAATTTTGTATTTAGCTCAGAGTCATTTTTTTGACCTGAATAAAGAAAATCCTGTATCCCAAAAAGAAATTCAAAGCCTTGTGAAACTCCACTAACACTAATTAATGGCGGATGAGGGGACAGAGTTTGTTCAACTAGTGGAACACAAGCATATATAATGTCATTCTTCAGAAAAGCGACAACTGGCCAGAGTTCTTCACCTCCTATCAAGAGTCCATAAATGGATGTTTTATTGATGCGTGAACAGCTATCACGACTCTCAACAAAGTCTTTATCATCATCCAATAATCTAAGTTCAAAGAGCAGTGCTTTAAGAAAGGGACCATCTTCGGGAATAGGCACATAACTTGCTCCATTGAAGACTCTGGCTCGTTTTTCAACCGTTGGATACCGCCTGCATTATGGAAACAGAAACATTATAAGTGATTCTTCCAAGTAAAACCAAGATGAAAGAATTTTTTAAAAACTCCCAAATATAAGGCAAACAGTAATAATAATAAAATACATGAGAAACAAATACATACACACAACCACAAATGCCAACAACCAAAAAATTATAATGCCCATTAAGTTACTATTAGAGTAACTTTCATATTTGGTATATAATCTGTTATTGAAAATGCTTAATTCAATTTATTTATTTAGTTTAGGTAGAGTACATGATTCTAATTCAAAATCCTTGTCTCTCAGTCACTCAGATATCATCTTGGTCAGCAAGGAGTATATACTTGAACCATTTTAGGCATCTATAAGAACTTTTTTTTTCTTCTGATTCTATCTTAGCAGCTACAGTAGGACTAACAAAGTGGTTCAATTTAACCCTCCACAATTTTGGATTCATTAGTTGAGATGGTATAATTTTAAAAGGAATGTTCTATTCTACTCAACCTATAGTGAATGACAGGTACCCTGAGTCTTCTTGCCAATCCCTACAAACACAAGGAAGATCATTTTAGTAATAACGGTTTATCTCTATGGCCCTGGAAGATACTTTTAGGTAATAAAAAAGAATAAAATCAGAATGTTTTTGCATGTGCTGAGTTGAACAGTAAGCAGTTACTAATTTATCTTTTCTTTGGTTGGAAACAGAAGATGCTTTTGCTTATTTACAGAAATCTGTTAGATCACAGTTTCTCAGTTCCAAAATATGTACTTTTCCTCATTCCTTCTACCTCCACTCCAAAGTCCAGAACAACGTCATTTATCAGCTGTTAACTTTTGAGTAAATCACTTAACTTCCCTTAGCCTATCTTCTTATTTGTAAATAAAGGGGGGGCAACAAATCAGCAGTTTTTACCAGAGTCAAAAACATACCTGGCTAAAACAGTTTTTGCTAAAAAATATTGATGTTTATTAATATTTAAAAAAAATAAAAGGCCGGGCGCGTTGGCTCAAGCCTGTAATCCCAGCACTTTGGGAGGCTGAGACGGGCGGATCACGAGGTCAGGAAATCAAGACCATCCTGGCTAACACGGTGAAACCCCGTCTCTACTAAAAAAACTAGCCGGGCGATGTGGCGGGCGCCTGTAGTCCTAGCTACTCGGAAGGCTGAGGCAGGAGAACTGCGTGAACCCGGGAGGCGGAGCTTGCAGTGAGCTGAGATCCGGCCACTGCACTCCAGCCTGGGCGACAGAGCCAGACTCCATCTCAAAAAAAAAAAAAAAAAAAATATATATATATATATAAAATAGAATGTATTCAAAGTTATCTATATGTAGGCTGGGTGCAATGGCTCACCCAGCACTTCCGGAGGCTGAGGTGGGCAGATCACTTGAGGGCAGGAGTTTGCAGGAGTTTGAGACCAGCCTGGCTAACATGGTGAAACCCTGTCTTTACTAAAAATACACAAATTAGCTGGGTGTGGTGGTGCATGCCTGTGATCCCAGCTACTCGGGAGGCTGAGGCAGGAGAATCTTGAACCCGGGAGGTGGAGGTTGCAGTGAGCTGAGCTGAGATCTTGCCACTGCACTCCAGCCTGGGCAACAGAGTGAGACTCCATCTCAAAAAAAACCACACACACACACACAAAACAAACAAACAAAAAAAACCACCAGCCAACCAAAAAACCCAAAAGCAGTTACCCATGTGTAGGTAAATCTCACTTACATTCTGATGCATTTTCTTGATTGAGAAAGGGAAAGAATCAGGTAGCACACCAGTAATGACATGGCATAGCAGGTTAATGCCATTTATTAATCTAAATCTCTGTATATGAATAGTAGAGATCTCTGTACTAAACTGTAGTCCAATCTCTTATTATCTAATTTTCTAGAGGATAAAGTTCTTAAGTATAAAAATTTCACAACTGACTGTGAAGATAAGTTAATCTGGGACCCTTATACAATGTCTCAATATGTGTTCAATGAATATTTTGTTGGATGACTCAACCTATCATTTCTAATTTATTATATGCTTTTTCTAAAACAGGATTCAAAGCTTAAATGGGTCTACAACTATGGGGTATGATACCGGCCTAAGCCAGATGTAACTGGATGCTATTATTATCTGGACAGGAAACCTTTAAACCAGAATCTTAACCAAGTTTTGTCATGGTAAATAAGTACTTAGATAGAGAAAATATCATTTGCCTTCTTAAATCTTAAATATTGGCCACTTATTGACACTTATGTCAGTGCATATCTGTGTAGCTCTAACACCTGCCCCAAGAGGTTAGAAAACTGAAAATACAATAAAATTTAACTAAGTCATTCAATGATACAGAATTAAATTATTTGAACCCAACTTGCTACCTCCATAAATGTATTGAAAAGCCCATCCAAACATATCTGACTTTTTATTCTGAAATAATATCCTGAGCACAGTTAAAAGTCATTCTGAAAACTAGGATTTAAGAAACTTATTTTTTAAGTAAAAATAAAAGTTTACCTCTATGAGATATTAAGATAAAAAGTTTACTCTTTTTAAGTAAAAAGTTTACCTCTATGAGATATTAAGATAAGCTATAAAAGCAACAGATATGGTATTGGCACAAGAAAGACAAAGCACTAGAACTGAGACAAACCAACATTTATATGAGAAGACATAACTAACATTACCAATAGCCTCACCAATTAATGAAGATATGACATACTGCTTAAAAGGTGGTGTCAGAAAAACTGATCCACAGTACAGAGAAAAACAAAATGGGATTCCTACTTAACACCATATCCAAAGATGGACTACATATGGGTTATAGACCTAAATGTAACAGATGAAATTATAAAGTTAAGAGAAGGTACTGTAGGAAGATATTTTTGGGAAATATGGGTAAGAAACAACTTCAACAAATTCCCAAAAGCGACTACTTCGATTGCATCAAAATTAGTGATTTCTGTTTAATCAAGGGAAACATAAAGTTAATTGACGACGGTAAAATTAAAGAAAATATCAGTACTTTCTAAAAATGACATAGAACTAATATCAAGAATACAAAACAAACTCCTACAAATTCAGAGGAAAAAACAAGCAACTTTGAAAGAAAAAAAAGACATGTACAGGCAATTCACAGTAAAGGAAACTTAAAGGACTAACAATCATTATTACACACAGAAATGCAAACGAAAATAAGATGTCCTTTACTGGAAAAAATTAAATGTTAGGAAAGAATGGAGATATGGGAACCCCTTCTTGCTGCTAGTGAGTGCGTAGGTGGGTGAACGTGCAGATTATTTGGCAGTCTTTAGTCAAAATCGGCATAGACATGCCCAATGGACCAATTTGAGGATGCATACTTTGGCAGTGTTCTTTGGAGGCAAATTTGGGAGAGGTCGTCACTAGGGAAAGGGGACAGGTAAAATGTGTAGGATGTGAACCATGGAGTAATACAGAGCAAGAAAAAACAATGGCCTAGATTTGCACTGTCCAACACAGTAGAACTACCCACATGTGGCTATTTAAACTTAAATAAAAATTAATTAACATTACCCAAAAGTAACAATTGAGTTCTTCAGTTATGCTAGCTGCAGTTCAAAAGCTCAATAGGTACTTGTGGCTAGTGGCTACAGTATTAGCCAGTACAAATTAAGAACATTTCTCCTTTCCATTATCATAAAGAATTCTATTGGACATGCTGCCTTAGATGAACACAAAGTATCATGGATGTTTCTTTAAAATAGTACTGAGAAATCTGACAAATGTAACATTAGGAAGTGAAGTCTAAAGCACATTTAATTATGTAATTTGAAAAATGCATACAATGAAAAAGGGTAACATCGAAGATATAAGAGCTACCTGTCAAGGGCAGGGGAACGGCAGTTAGAAATAGGTAACCAAAGGGAATATGTAACCAAAGTAAAATGAGAGATACTTTGGATGGACTGATGCGCCTGGTAAAGTATGTACTAAAGAATATATATAATCTCCTGTATTTGAGGTCCAACAACAAATGTTGGGGTTAGTGTCAGCCAGAAATCCTGCGGGGATATGGTAAACTCCAACTCTGATGCCCTCCGGAACAAAAACTGTTTAGGTTGCAAAGAAGGAATTTTTCATATCCTCATTGCCAACCAATTTTCATTTAAAATTGCAATCATTTTTTTTCTGCCTCGATCTCAATTCTACTATGGTGCTACTTCACTATAAACTTTCTTCAGGGAAGAACGAATTGGGACAAAAAAGAATTATCAACGGCCAGAGAACAGAAGGTGAACAGACCCAGTCGATTGCCACCAACATTTTACAATGAGTTATTGTATAATTCTCTTAACAGAGCTATTTTGATTACACAGGGCAAATTCTAAAAGTGGGACCAGATCAACTTAACACAATATACGAAAAAGTGAATTAATTTTTTTTGTGTTTCTATTTTCTTCAACAATTAGGAACTGTAAACAGATGATTTCTACCAATGACACAAATTTACAAGATAAAAATAAAAGTCTGGGTAGGGCACGGTGGCTCACGCCTGTAATCCCAGCACTTTGGGAGGCCGAGACGGGTGGATCACGAGGTCAGGAAAATCGAGACCATCCTGGCTAACACGGCGAAACCTATCTCTACTAAAAATACAAAAAATTAACTGGTCGTGGTGGCGGGCGCCTGTAGTCCCAGCTACTCGGGAGGCTGAGGCAAGAGAAAGGCGTGAACCCGGGAGGCGGAGCTTGCAGTGAGCCGAGATCGCACCACTGCACTCCAGTCTGGGGGACAGAGCAAGACTCCCGTTTCCAAAAAATAGCGATAACAACAACAACAACAACAAAAAAGTCTGATGTAACTTAGCACAGATTTTTCAGTAGAATAAAATGTTCCTGAATGATTTTGTCAATGCATGTTGAAAATCTGAAACATGTTTAGTGCTCAGTAAATTTTCTACCTTTCCCTTAGTCATCTCCATTTTAATCCTAAGCAGACGGAGGTCATTTTAAAATCCAATACTAATAGAAAACATACACCGTAATACTTAATATGTACGAGTCATCAACTCAATTCTCACAACACTGTAAGGTAAGACTATTAAAATCTCTATTTAACAGACGAAACAGAGGTCTGTTAACTGGCTAGTCCAAGGTCACGCAGCTATTCGTGGCAAACCTGGGCCACGAAGCACCACAAAACTATGCTACTTCATCGATCAGGATTCAGATTTGCATTTACCTGGAGAATCTCACGGTGCCACAAAGTGGAGTTCCCGGTTCGTGACTTATAAGCCACACTGCCCGCTGCGCCATGGTAAGTCAGTGAAGCATTAACTCATCTCATAATTAAGGTCGCCACCGAGGAACAGTGCAGACCGGCTTTCTCAGAAGCCCCAAGGCTCATCTTGCGCCACAAACCGGTCGCGCTCAGCAGAGAGGTTATTTTTAGGTGAGGTAACTAACACCTCTGAGTCGCTCTAGCTCAACACACACCACAAAAAGTTCTAAGAACCCCAACCTATAACGTTGAGAAATTTACCTATCCCCTGCAACTCCGGTACTTTCTTCCTCTAAATTCCACTTCCGGAACGGTGGCCCGCAAGGATCAAAGTTCCTCATATACCGTAGCGTCGAGCCTCTTTTCGGATCGCCAGCAGCTGGTTTTCTTCACTGGCCCCTCCCGACAACCTCCGGGACGCGCGCAGTTCCACTTCCGGCGTGTGAGGCGGTGACAATGGGAGCAGCGCGGGTGGCGCCGGGAGGCAGCTGACAGGCGTTTGTGGCTTCGCTTCATGGCAGCTCTCCCGCCCCGCCTGGGATCTGTGGGGAGTGGGGGAGCCCGCGGCGGCCCGGAGCCAGGGTTGGCGAACCGAGCGGAGACCTGTGCGCCGCGCCTCTGAGGCGCAGCATGTGAAGCGGAGACGGCATCCAGTGCGGGGCGAGCCTCTCAGCCGGCCGGGATGGCTACCACGGCCGAGCTCTTCGAGGTGGGCCCCGGCGGCTCTTCAGGGAGTGGCAGGCTTGGGGTTTGCAGGCAGCTAGGTGGGCGGGCTGAGGAGCGGGCGTTTGCTGGCTACCCAGGAGGAGCCCTCGGGAGAGAGACGCGAAACTGAAGGGTTGGGGTGGCAGCTCCGTGTTAGCGCGGGCGGAGCGTGAAATGGGGGAGGGGTGCTTGGGGCCGAGGTGGGTTGGGCGACCGGTCGGCCGAGAGGGGAAGCCGGGTGTCCGAAGGGAGGAGGGTTGGTTTTCTCTGTGGGGGCAAGAGGGGGAGTCTGGAAGGTTCAGGTGTTGGAAGATGTCTACTCGGGATGAGTAGTGGGAAGGGCTGACTCAGGACGAGGAAAGAGAGCCAGGAGCCTCAGATTGGGCGAGTCTTGTCGCTGGAATTCTTGCGGGAATAATAGCAGGAAGCCACTTAAGATGGGGACTGTTGGGGGCTTCTCGTTTTGAATAATTATTCCATTAGTAAGGCTGCAGGTGGCATTCATAGGCCTGCCAGTTCAACCTTACATTTGAAAAGGCTGGGACAATTTTTTTTTTTTTGGTACAATAAAGGCCTACTTATCTCTTTCGACTGAAGGGAGGCAAAATTCAAGTGAACACTTTATTTCATGTAATAATAATACACTGAAAGCATTTACGTGTATTATAAAATAAAACCGAAATGAACACTATAAAACGAACACTTCGTTTCATATATATAATGCACCTTAAGTGTATTAGATTCATTTACGTGTGTTATAAAATCACCAAACTGCAAGCTAGAGAATCCTTAATACGTAATAGTGAGAATACTATCTTTCCTCGAGCGTTTTCAGTATCTAAACCTTAAAATTTAATTTCGTGAAGTCTGGTGTAAGAAGCTGTGATAAAAGTTTGAGATAATAGAATAGGAAAACTAATTGGACTACAAAACAATGAAACTTATAAAGCATCTCGTGTGAAATAAATGAAAACACATGCGAAAAAGGAAAAGACCCCTTTTGTGTGTGTGTGCTTGTGTTTCACATTGAATAACAAAAGTGTAATAATTGAGAAGACTGTAATCCACAATAGGGAACCTCTCCATAAGTGAAAATGGTATCCTTTTTCTGCCTAAGATTCAGCAGTTTTTGTGGCTTACAATTTGAATGCCACAGTTTTGATAAATGGAACTTTACATTTGTTATTGTTACTATATTTTGCGTATCAGTCAGCTTTCGGATCGATAGTGCTTTTTTTGAGAGGAATAATATATGTTATTGTTATAATAACTTGTAATAAGACAGTAATTTGTGAATGAAGGATCGTAATTACAAGAAAGACTTCAGAGATACTGTATTTTCTCAGTTAAGTGTTGGGAGATAAGCTACGTTAATTTCTGTAATTCCAAAATTGTGCCATCTGTTTATTGACACAAGATCGGGGAGACACTTTTCCTGCTAGGAACTTTTACTGTGTCCCTGGGTACTAAGTAGTGCTGTGGTTCCTTGTTTTATTTTTCACATCTTAAAGAGGGAGAACACGATGAAGTTGTATGAGATCTTCAATTAATGTATTTGCTGACAAGCCAGGTCTTAACAGAAAATTATTATATATGTTGTCATACAGTTCATAAGACATTATCCTTTGAGTTAATCCAGTTCCAGTTGTACCTTGGACCATCTTATGTATATTTTTATTTAAATATTTGACCGCATGATTTCGGTAACTTATTTGGAAATATGTTTGATTTTTTTTCTCCCTCTCCCTGGCGGGGAAGGGGAGGAGGTGGGGAAATATATATTTTGCTTTCTGGGGTCCGGCCATTAGGTTGAGTAGTTAAACCAGATTAGGATTTAATGTAATTTAGTGACTCTAGTTATATGGTAGCCAGTAAGATTCAGTGATAATAGAGACAGTAGCCCTTACACTACTCTTAGGCCAGAGGGTTTTTAGAACAAATTTAAACATATGTATGGATCGTAAAACTTATGTGACTTTTTTTCTTGACTGTATGTAGATTGTTGCTTCGTCAAAATTAAAAGCATAATAGTTATAATTAAATTTTAGTAGTTATAATTAAGAAGTGCATTTATTTTTTCTGGTACTGCTATGAATCCAGCCCTACAGTGGACTCTACTCTTGAGTAAGTTTTCATCCCCAAGTGAAAAGTTGATCTCTTGGCGTTGGAGGGAGGAGGAAAAACAAATCTTGTCACTGCTCAGTTTCCTGTAGCTACTGCCATAGCATCTAGATTGTAGTACAAGTCAAAGGAAGTATCTTTTCCCCCTGCTTCCCTTTCTTAGTCCCAGCTGGAGAACTGTGGAAAACAGAAGGCAGGATGTAGTCAAGGATGTTTGGTTTTTATTCATCCTAATTTTCATGCACTATTAAATAGAATTGTACTTTCACTTTTCATGTTAAGAGAAGTTAAATGAAAACAAAATTAAACTTTTGAATCCATGAAATTTCATTGTGTTAACTATACTTCTTTTAAAATCTTATTGGTCCCATGACACTTAATGAAAACAACTTCATATAACAAAATCAGACTGTAATGTATTTCCTCAGTTGACCGAAATGATTTAGTAATAGATGATTTGGCTATTGTAATAGTGTATATCCTGAAAGTTTCTCAGAATACCTTCTTAGTTTCAACTTTTGTTGACAGATCTTTCTGAAAAGATCCATGTACAGTGTTATTAAATCTTCTCAGGATAGACATTCTGAATAAGGATTGTTACGTGGTGTAGATAAATTGTATCTTCTACATATGCAAAGTGACTGGGCTCAGAAATTCCTTTTTAAATTTTCTTTTCTTTGTTTTTGAGACAGGGTCTTGCTCTGTTGCGCAGGCTGGAGTGCAGTTGGGTGATCACTGCTCACTGCAGCCTCTACCCTCCAGGCACAATCCATCCTCCCACCTTAGCCTCCAGAGTAGCTGGGACTACAGGTGCCTGCCACCACACCCAGCTAGTTTTTAAAATTGTTTTTGGAGAAACAAGGTTTCACCATGTTGCCCAGGCTGGTCTTGATCTCCTGGGCTTAAGCAATCTGCCCACCTTGGCCCCCCGAGGTGCTGGGATTACAGGTGTGAGCCACTGTGCCCCGCCAGAAGTTCTTTTTATGTTGTTGCAAATATTCCTTCTCCTTTTATTGTACTACTGAGGACATTCTTTTCTCATTTGCTTATTTTTTTCCCCATAATTCTTCAAGAATCTTCCCTTTTCTCTGGTTAGACTACCATTATGGGAGAGTTCTTGGTTAGTAACTAGGGTTAATTATTCATTCATTCTACAGATATTTGTTGAATACCTATTAAGTTCAAGGTAAAGTTCTTGAACTTTATCTGCATGCCTCAAAGGGCATGCCAAAGAAATATTAGTCCTACGAGATGTGTTGCAAAAAAACTAACAGGGTTCAGTGGCCAAATAACTTATGGAAATGAGCATAGTCTGTTTTGTTGGACATTTGCAGTATACCTTAATATGTTAAAGATGATGAGAAGTCCATTTCCCAAACTTTTTTCACCATGAGACTCTTTTCTTTTTTTAAGAGACTTTTATTTTCTACTGCTTGTTAACTTAATTTTGTGAATTACAAGGTACATACTTTGGAAAATGTTAAGTATAGAACCTGTCCTTAGCAAATAGAGGGAGAGAAGGTAGATATATGATACTATACTCTTAAAAATAAGGTTATAAATGGTTTCAAAGAAGTCTAGATAAAGTGCCATAGGTGTCAAGAGGATGGGAAGATTACCTCTAGAAGAAAGAAAGGATTAGAATTATCTACAGAGGGATTATTATCATTTGAATTATCTACAGAGGAAAAATTAGATTTGAGTTTGTGGAACTGGGTGAAGGGACTCTTCAGTAAAGCAGACAATGAAAGCTAAGACATAAAGGGAGGGTTGTAGGCCCTGGAGATAAGGGGAACATTCATTTTGGCTGGAGTATAGCACACATAAAGAGGAGGAGTGGCATGTAAGGTAAATTGGGGTTTAATTTTGGAGGTCCTAAATGCCAGGATTAAAAATTCATTTTTTTTTCTTTCTGTAAATGTAGGTTCCTTGATAATAGTGCTTGAGGTCAGGTAATTTGGCTGTGATAGCAATGGCTGTTTGACTTCCAAATTAGAGTATGAATATTGAAGAACACATTTTCCCACATTTATTTGTCTCTTAATTTTTCAAACTAAATTACAAAAGCTGTTTAAAAATGGACTTGTTGAAGATGATGTCTCTTGTTCAATTAGCTAGCCAGGTGTATACTAATGAGCATGAGATATACAAGTAAGGAGCACCCCGTTAACTGTCAAGGTGCTGAAATGCTATTTATTTTACCCATATTAGTTGTTAAGTGTTTATAGACGTTGGCTACCAATTGTAGTATCATGTATATGATAAAATGTATTCATTCTGCAAACATTGAATGAATGTGTAGGCCAGACATTATTCCAGGTACTAGAGTTAAAAGATGTTGAGTTAAGCATCTGATTGAGGGAGACAGACATGTTAATACATTAATACAGTGCAGTGGGAGTTTAGAATCTTTTCCAGGGATTATTAGGAAAGGTTTCATTTAGTAATGGCATATAGAAATTGGATATTGATGGATGAGTAGAGATTTTTCAAACAGGAGAAGGGCATTCCAAGGCAGAGACACAAGATGACTCCAGTTTGTTGTAAGGTGAGGCAATTGAGAAGAGTTAGGATGTGTATGTGCATATTTTAAGAACAGGGAGTGGTGGCAAGGCATTGAGACCATGGGAGTTTGAGGGCAGTTTTTCATTTTTTTTTTTTTTTTGAGAAGGAGTCTAGCTCTGTTGCCCAGGCTGGAGTGCAGTCACATGATCTCGGCTGACTGTAACCTCCGCCTCTGGTTTCAAGCGATTCTCCTGCCTCAGCCTCCTGGGTAGCTGGGATTATAGGTGCCTGCCACCATGCCCGGCTAATTTTTTTATTTTTAGTAGAGATGGGCTCTCACTGTGTTGGCCAGGCTGGTCTCGAACTCCTGACCTCATGATCGACCCGCCTTGGCCTCCCAAAGTGCTGGGGGATTACAAGCATGAGGCACCGTGCCTGGCCAGTTTTTTTGTTTCTTGAGACAGGGTTTTGCTCTGTCACCCAGGCTGGAGTGCAGTAGTGTAATCACAGCTCACTGCAATGTCTACCTCCTAGGCTCAGGCAATCCTCCCACCTCAGCCTCCCAAGTAGCTGGGACTACAGGCATGTGCCACCATGCTTGGCTAATTTTTTATTTTTTGTAGGGATGGGGTCTCACTATATTGCCCAGGGTAGTCTCGAACTCCAGGACACAAGTGATCCTCCCACCTCAGGCCTCCCAAGGTGCTGGGATTACAGGCATGAGCCACTGGGCCCAGCCCCGGGGGAATTTTTAAGAAGGCTTTTTATAGATCATGCAAGAGGGCTGACCTTACTTTTTTTGGGTAAGGGTCAGGAAGACAGACAATTTTATTTTTTATTTTTATTTTTATTTTTTTTTGGTTTTGAACCTTTAATGAGAAAACAATATATAATGTCGAGCTCAAGAACACTGTGTGTTTGGTGTCATTGGGTCAAGGGTTGGGGATACACACGGCAGAATTTGGAAACAGGGTATACATCAACAAAAACATTAGTCATAACAAGAAAAACTGGCGCCTGGCACAATCAACTCTCAGTTTCCTCTTCACTCAGCAGCATGTTGGGGATCCCGCGGCTGATGGGAAACATACGTCCAGACTTCGGGCACTGCAGGGTGCCCTCTATGACTTCCACCTCCAGCAGCAGATGGTGCATGGTCCTCAGAAACTTCATTCTCCTCATATCCCTCAACCGGTTTAGGCACCTGGATCAGGCGCAAATTATCGGCCGCTTCCAGGAACGCCGCCCACTCCACCTTAGGTATCATACGCGCCACGAAGTTGGGGTTGAACTCCACAGGGCAGATACGGACCTCAGTGGCCTGGAGGCGCAGGGGGAAGCCACGGGACCCCACCCCCTGCACATGCGAGCTCAGCAGATTGTGGGTGAGCAGTTTCATATCGCCGACCAGGCTCTCGTTCGACAGACAATTTTGATGTTAGCGTGAAGAATGGCCTTCGATAGGGGAAGAAATTGTTAGCTGGGAAAATTGGAATCACGGGCAGCCTAACATAATTGTTGTCATTTGGTAAGTGTTCCAGAATTATCTGTTGACTGATTAATCTTGCCAGATGAAATTCTAACCTAATTCAATGGCAACAGAGAAGAAATTTGAAAAGACATTTTGGAGGAAGAATTAAAATAATTCAATTACTGAGGAGTTAAAATTCCAAATTTGTAACTTTGAAAAGTAGGTGGTTGGTGATTCATTAACTGTGACAGAGAAAATTAGAAGGACCTTTGCAGGGGAAAGAAATAATATATTCATTAAATATATATATATATTTTTTTATATATATATATATATTTTTTTTTGTTTTATACTTTGAGTTTTTAGCCAGACATCGTGGTAAAGAAGTCCACTAGGCAAATGGAAATATGAATTAGTAACTCAGAAAGAGATCACAGTTAGAGATAGCAGTTTAGGAAGTATCACTTTATATGGGTGGTAATTTAGTCAGGAGGTGGATGACATCTCTCAGCTCTGCCCCTTACTAGTTGTGTGATCTTGGCAAGTTACCCAACCTCTTTGTACCTCAATTTTCTCATCTGTATAATGGGGGAAATAGTAGTATCTACTTCAGAAGGTTTTTTTGATGACTAAATTGAATTGAGAAATTTAAATTGCTTAGCATACTATCAAAAGAGTAGTATCCATTTTTAAAAATTAGGTGTCGGCCACTTTCAATTTAAGTGGATTGAGATGAGAACTAGATTAAAGATCTATCAGGGAGAGAAAGCCTTCAGCCTTGTCGGTCTCAGCTGACTTAGAGTAAATGATCCAAGAAGTAGGAGATTATAGTAGGAGAGGATTACAAAAAGGGGCTGTGGAAGGTTATATTTTTCAAGATGGTCACAAGATCTGCCATCCCACATCGTGATGTTTATGCCCCTCCCATAGGGAAGTAGGGTCTCTGCTCACTTCTTGAATCTGTACAGGCCTATGACTATAGAAGTGTTGCTACGTAGTGATTTGCAAGGTTAGGCCCCATAAAGGGCCAGATGTATTACCTTTGATGACCTAACCTCTTGGACTCTAGCAACCATACCAAGAGAAAGCCCATGCAGCCCTTTTAAAGAACCAAGGCCCTTCACCCTTGGCTCTCGCTGAACTCCCAGCTAACGGTAAACACCAGCTTGCCATCTTGAAAGAGTATCTTCTAGCCAAATTGAGCAGCCCCAGCTTATTTCATGTGGAGCAGAGACCAGATTTCCCTGTTGAGCCCTCCTCAAATCAGATTTGTGAACAGTATGATTATTGTTATTTTAGGCCACTAACTATTTGAGTGGTTGTTAGGCAGCAATAGATAACTGAAACAGAGGCTGATCAATTTCTTACCTTCTATTGGTGTTAGTGGAGAGAGTGATAGAGGTAGAGGTTGATGCTTAAGAGTAATAGAGTTCCATTTAAGTGTTTTATGCTTTGGAGTTCTCCAGTCAAACCAACTTGAAAGTGAACTTCTGGAATAAGCAAGTCATTAAATTGAGGACAGTATTATAGACTGCACATGTGTATAATTAATTTAAAATACTGAATCCCTGGTGTTCCCAGGAAATTAAATCGTTGAGGTGTGTGTGTGCCCACATGTGTGAGAGAGATTTGAAAGAGTGATTGCCTTGTTCTCTTAAAAGTGGATTGCAACTGCACGTAACACCCGGCAAATAAACATATAACCTACAAATTAAATGAAAGTTCTAGTTGAGTGATAAATAATTTAAAAGTTTGGTGGTTAATATTTTATGTGTATATATATATATATTTAAAACTTAGCAAACTTTTCTGATGCTATTTCCTTGAAGCTGAAATATGAAAATAAGAAAATACAGTTATTTATATATCTTTGCTTATTCAGGGTATAATAAATGAAAGAAGCAATGATTCCTTACTTGTTTAATTTTATTTCCAAGGTGTTTATTAAATGCCTGTAAGAATATTTAACGTGTATATTTGTAAATACGCTTAATTTGATTTGAAATGCTAATGGCAGATTGTATTAAATACTTAAAGTAATTTCACAGTCTATATTAAAGTCTCTATAATAGAGTGGGAAAAATATCTGGGTTAGAATACTGGTTTAGTACCTTGATAAGACTTAAATTTCATTTCCTCAGTTTCCTCATATGTAAAAATGAGATGAAAGAGCTGGGCTGTGATGATATTTAAAGAACATTCTTGCATTACAAATTTTAAATCTGATTATATGATTCTGTTGAGCCTAGTATAACAGGAATTGTAACATTTTGTTACCTCTCCCTTTTGGACATACACATGATATATATTACTTTACGGTTCGAAATGAGAAATATTCTATCCTGGAAAAATATTTTGCTTAAGAGAATCTAAAATATTTTGTAAGATTCTAAATTACCATCATTCAGGTAGTCTTCAAAACAATTTTGATGACATGATTAATTGACCAATTTCATAGTTTAAAGGGCTTCAAGATTGAATGTTAAAATTGACTAATTTTAAAAAGTAAAATTATTTATTTTGTAGTGTTTGTGCAAGTAGTTTTCAAAATACTTTTTCAAAGTTTGCCTTAGTTATATTTGTGTCTTAAAATGCTTTATTCTACCTTTTCATACTACTTTTGAAATCCATTTTGTTAGCTGGAGACAAAATATTTTGTAGTTTTTAAAAAAAATCAGTAGTCAATAAATATAAGTTATTAATATACAGAAAACACGTAAAGAATCTCACTGAAAAATCAAAGAAAATGGGGTTAGAAAGTAGAGGCCAAATATTGTAAAATTCTTTAGTTCTTTGTAGTGCCAGAATTGTATTAGGCTCATATTTGGTTTCTGTTAGAATCTTGGATTGATAGTACCATGTAATGCCTGTTCTTTATTTCTGGGTTGTGGGGTAGTGGTCCTGCCCTTTTGGTTTTGGATATATGGATCAAGAGCATGACTTTCAAGACCCTCTGCAGGGATTTCAGCCATGGCCCCAACTAGCTAGTGTTTTGGTATGCTCAGCATTGTTCTGTTGACTACAGCTGGAAAGCAAGAGAAATGTATGACACAGCCGCCCCTTGCTTTCAATTTAAGTATGGAGAAAAGAGTGAAACTTATGAAAATGATTCTAAATCAATAAATGATAAAATGACAGTTAGTAATATTCTGTGTTGGGATTTGAATTTTTAAGCTTCATAGGGGTTTAAGAGTGGAGAAATTAATGGAGACCATGTAGGGAAGGAACCCTTCAAAGAAGAAAAGGGAATGGAGCCAGGCTTTAAGTAATGGTATAGCAGTCTTTGAAGTTTTGGAGGAGAAAGGGCATACTTAGTAGGGTGAGTTACCTGGCCACAGGTTAGGAAACAGAAGTAACATGGGCTTAAAAAGAAGACTGGCATGGTCTGATGGAAGTGTGGCTATTTGTTTTGAGGTACAGAGAAATTTGGGTAGGTGGTACAAGATAAGAACCCTAAAGGGTAGATATAAGAGTGTGAACTTGGCTGCGTGTGGTGGCTCACATCTGTAATCCAAGCACTGAGTCGGGCAGATCACTTGAGGCCAGCAGTTAGAGACCAGCCTGGCCAACATGGCGAAACCCAATCTCTACTAAAAATACAAAAATTACCCGGGCGTGATGGCACACACTTGTAATACCAGCTACTCAGGAGGCTGAGATATGAGGAGGCAGAGTTTGTAGTGAGCCGAGATTATACCACTGCATTGCAGACTGGGAGACAGAGTGAGACTATATCTTTAAAAAAAAAAAAAAAAGTGTGTGAATTTGATAGTGTAATAGGAATTATATAGGGAAGTTTCTCACTAAAAGGAGGTAGTGTTTTAATGATCTGTTAGATAGTGGTATCCATAATAAATTTAAGGAAAATACATGATAGGCAGTACTTTTGAACCGATGGGTTAGTTGGTTTAACAAGATACAGAAATATCTATCTGAAATGATCTGAGACTTACTTTTTTTTTTTTTTTTACCTAGGCTGGGGTAAATATCCTAGTTTCTTTGAGTTTGTGGGTGATTCCAACACATTGTATTGGATCTACTTTTGGGAATGGAGATATAAGAAAATACAAAAATTTGAATTTTTGTCAAGGAAGCAACATTATTTAAATTAGGGATTTATGTTCCTGTCCAAGGGATTGCCACCCAAGGGAGTTTTCAGTAGAAATGACCACCAACACCATTAAGTTCTGGGATACATGTGCAGAACTTACAGATTTGTTACATAGGTATATATGTGCCATGGTGATTTGCTACACCCATCAACCCCTCATCTACATTAGGTATTTCTCCTAATGCTATCACTCCCCTGGTCCCCCACCCTCTGACAGGCTCTGGTGTGTGATGTTCCCCTCCCTGTGTCCATGTATTCTCATTTTTCAGCTTCCACTTATGAGTGAGAACATGCAGTCTTTGGTTTTTTGTTCTGTGTGAGTTTGCTGAGAATGATGGTTTCCAGTTTCATCCATGTCCCTGCAGAGGACATGAACTCATCCTTTTTCATGGCTGCATAGTATGGTGTATATATGCCACATTTTCTTTATCCAATCTATCATTGATGGGCATTTGGGTTGGTTCCAAATCTTTGCTATTGTGAATAGTGTTGCAGTAAACATACATGTGCATGTGTCTTTATAGTAGAATGATTTGTTATACTTTGGGTCTATACCCAGTGATGGGATTGCTGGGTCAAATGGTAATTCTGGTTCTAATCCTTTAGGAATCGCCACACTGTCTTCCACAATGACAAACACCATATTTTAATATTACAATTGGTAACATTTGTAAAGCATTTAAAATCAGTTTAACGGAGCAATATAACAACCAATTATGTAAAGCTAAGTTTCATATGATAGTATCTTAGTGCATAGTTCTAGATTTTTGTTTTGGCTTGGTGATTTTTGCTTTTGATTACTGTAGCAAACAGAAAGTGAAGCTAAACCTTTGTCAGGCTTATAAAATTCTAAAGGATTTAAAAATTTTTTTACAGGTATTTGTATTATAGGGAATTGTTTGAGAAGTCTCTTGGGAGGACTTGGTCATTTGGAGGTCTTAGGATTTGTTAATTTGGCTATCTTTTTCTCACTGTAAGTGCCTTTGCAGCAAGGTAAAGTATTAGAAAGCAAGGCATTAGGATTTATTTGCTTATATAAGCAGAATTCTTTATTTTTATTTATTTTTTTATTTTTATTTTTTGCTTTTTTGGAACTTCCATCCCTTGGAGATCAATCGCTGACTTCTCTTAAACCCTAGTGATAATTTGTCTCTGAGGATAAAATGTGTACTTTGCTTCCAGGA